GGTGCTGTTACTCACACAGGTGCGGTTTGCAGGACTGGGTCTTAGTTTTGCAAGAATTGCAAGATGCTTTGGTTGTTGATGCTTTATACAATTTCCCATTGCAGAACCGGCTGGAGGTAATCACCTGTATTCCCATCAGTGCACATTTCTTACACTGCATGTAGAATGCTTCATTGTGCATTACAGAAATAGTTGTGTGGCATGCTGAGCTGCTGGCACTCTTGCTTTGCTTGCAACTGTAATGCTTTGAAAACTTTAAAATCACTTTCCTTATGCCACCTATAAAAATTCTCTGAGTAAATGTATCTTCGTACAGAGAATCTAGGTTAGACTGCACCAGCATTTCTGCACCCCAGCAATTTGATAGAAAGCACTTGATTTTTCTATTCCCAAGAACCCCATGCAAGGCTGATGCAAAAACACTGCGAAATAACTCCTGAATGTTGTACACCTACTGTATGTTCATTCCACACCCATGTAAATACCATATCAGTATAAGGCAATGGAAAATCATTTCCTATATATGCAATGGGGTAGAAACAGCTCTTTTTAAATTGGCTGGTAGCAGGTGCTTTTAAATTTTTTTTTCTGTTATATTCAGTTTCTTATATTGTGTCCCTATTGTGGTATCTGAGCATCAAAGCTTTAAAAGGAATGTGCCTCACATCAATAATAAATTTCTATAGCATCCATAGCTAAAGGGGAAACAAAAGTCTTCCCTAATAGAAAACTCTATAGCTTCTTATTTTCTGTTTTTATTTAGTAACATTTAGTTTTCTAACATACCGTTATTTGTCAGCCTATTGCACGTGTCTGACACAGAATAATAATTTAGGGTGGGCAGCAGAGAGGACCCCTCTGACCTTATTTAATGCATTCTTTTAACACACTTCATTCAAAAAGCAGTTTTGTTTCCTGTTTTTTGAAGGCTAACATGTTTTCCTATAACCAAAGAAATAACTTCCTTGATCATAATGTTGCCTTGTTAAAGGCTACTATTCTCTTTTTCCCAGCTGGGCTGAGAACTGATTGTGTAATTTATTTTATGAATAATTATGTTATAATATTAAGACTTTATGCTTGCTCATTTAAACTACACCACTTACAGAAAACTGCCTAACTTAGATGGATTCCACCTCAGGATTTTTGAATGTTTGTACCTAGCCATAGAGAGCCTTCCACCAAAATGTCTCTGGATGCTCTGTCAGAAGAAAATGAAGCCTCATAGTACCCTTTTTATGAGCCTGATAACATCATAGAGGTAACTGAAAACTTTTCAGAAAACATTTTTGGTTTAATTAATGTTGATTTGTGGAACCCAACATTCTTCCAAGAATATACCAGTTTTCATAAAATGCTTATTGGGGTAGATTAGTGTATGATTAAAGTTTTTGCAGGTTCTCTATGTCTCCCACATTCCAGCTCAGTACTTAGCCACTGGACTGTAGAGTCAGTCTGCCTCATATTTCTCTCAGGTTCACTGAATCATAGAATCATAGAAAAGTAGGGCTGGAAGAGACTGTCAAAGGTTATTTAGTCCATCCTTCCCTCCCCCCCACCTCACAACCAGAGACAGGGTCAACCCTTTCTAAATCATCCTGTACAAATCTATTGTCCAACCTATTAGTCAAACTATACAGTTAACTCTGCCACAACCACAAGGCATAATTCCCTAACCTGCTACAAGTAAGCAGGGGGACAATGGTGGTCAGTGTTCTGCTGCTACGAAGGTTTTTAAAAATATGCCTGAGCAATTCAATTTTGAATATTTAATTATTTTCACCAAGTGAAATAGCTCCAAGACAAGAGGTTGTGCAAGTCTCCTACCTCAGAATTGCCAAAAAAAAATCTGGTGGTTGTAGCCTGCACTTGAGGTAGAGGAGAGTGTGGTTCAAGTTAGTAAAACTTGACCAGTGCTTTTCAACACTCAGACCAGTGCTTTTCTATATTTTCATCAATGATTTGGATTCAGGTGTTAAAAGGCTACTGGCAAAGTTCATGGACTACACCAAATTATGCGGGAGTGCAGTCACACTTGAGGACAGGCTGGGGATACAGGCTGACCTGGACAGGCTTGCGAGATGGGTGGATCATAACCTCCTGATGTTTAACAAGAAGAAATATAAAGTTCTTCATCTGGGGATGAATGATTCACAACACAGTTACAGGCTTGGCAGTGCTACACTTGCCAGCACCACAACTGAAAGAAACCTGGGAGTCATGATAGACCACAGAATGAACATGACCCACCAATACGATGTCATAGCTGGCAGAGTGAATAAAACACTGGCATGCATCTACTGATGCATCTCAGGCAAGACTAAGGATGTCATTGTCCCGCTCCACTCAGCCTTGGTGAGACTGCAGCTGGAGTACTGCATCCAGTTCTGGGCGCCACACTTCAGGAAGGACATGGAGAAGCTCAAGAGAGTCCAAAGGAGGGCCACATGCATGATTAGAGGTCTGGAGAGCAGGTCATACAAGGAGAGGCTGAGAGACATGGGACTGTTCAGCCTGGAGAAAAGAAGACTTAGAGGGGACTTCGTGGCAGCCTATAAGTATATAAAGAGCATACATCAGGGCATGGGGGAGCATCTGTTCACCAAGGTACCCCAGGGGAAGATAAGAAACAATGGACACAAACTGATTGAAGATCACTTCAGACTGGACATAAGGAAAAACTTTATGACTTGAGTGTCGAGAGTCTGGAACAGACTCCCCCCAGAGGTGGTGCAGTCACCTACCTTGGAGATCTTTAAAAAACATCTTGATGTGCACCTTGCTGGGATCACCTGACCCCATCAGTCTTCCCTGCCCAAGTGCAGCAGAGCTGGACCCGATGATCTTGTGAGGTCCTTTTCATCCCCAAACATCTATGAATCTATGACATTAATTCAGGAATAGCAGGATTTTTAAAAGGGCCTCTCACTGAAGTTATGTACCCTAACTACTGAGCTATTCCACAGTGGATCATACTGTTTTTCATGTACAATTTGAAAAAAGCCTTGTATGATAGAAAAGAAACATTTAATTGCCAACTCTAACCAACCCTAACCCTTTTATACTTGAGAAAAATAAGGTACAATCATACCAAGTGACTTGAACAAGATAGCACAGTAAGTCAGAATGAGAGCTAATAATAGTGCCCAGGGGTCTTTTTTTCAGCTTTCTTCTCCCATCATTGGATCATAATGGTTCTTATACATTAGAAACCCTAATTTATAATTTTCTATTTAACAGGTAAAACACTGGGATTCCAAGAGCATCCTTAGAAGGAGTACCATATTTAGACAGGAGAGGAAAAAAGTCTTTTTGGCTATGTAAAGATATATCCTTAGCCATGGCAAAACATATTGTCTCTTGGGTTAAAGCACAAGTTTTCAGATGTCCTTGTTGCAGGGAAAGCACCAAAAAGGTTCACAATGAAAGATATCTGAAAGTCTTGCAATATCATCACAGGATAAGCAGACCAGTTAGTTCTCCAGGCATCCCACAATTTACTGCTTTGCCCCCAATCCTGGCCACTCTTGAACTATGTGTGCAGATTCTGGTCCTGATCTCAGAACTCTACTGCCAAGAAGTATCAGGTCCTAGGTGGCTACCCCCATCTATTAATTGCCCTGCACAGTGACTTGCCACCCATTTCTTGCTCACCACTCACCTGAGATCAGCATCAGAGTCTAAACCTATGGAACCAACCTCAAACACCACCAACCATCCAAGACTTCCATCCACTTAACAATTTGGCTGTCAGGGAGGTCATCAGACATCCACCACCTATCACAGCAATTTTGGACCTCCATACCCTCATACACCCATCTATCCTTCCTCCCTCATGGTTCCTCATCTGAGTGCAGTGCCATGAACAAGCCAGCAGCAACTGAGCCAAGGAGGAAGTAGTGGGGTTCATCACCATCTCAGTAATTGCCCACTTAATGCCTCATCCACCCCACTCCCCACACCAACAGCACAGTTAGAACGATCCTCCGTGCTGCTCAAGACAATGCACTATTAGTACAATGCACCCCTTTTGCCTATTTCATCTTTCTGCTTTGGCTCCTGCCTGGAAAAAATCATAGGGATGGCCCTCAATCCCATACAAACAGTTCATTAGGGATAGATACAGGCACTTTATTACAAGCAAAGTATTGCAAGCAAGTCAGCAAGGAAAGGAGAAAATAAGTGGCTTCCAAATCATCAGGTCTGCCACTTGGTAAATCAGTATGGACCACCATGGCAGTTCAAGTTCCCTTCTAAGTAGTCATAACATTAATTTTACTGTCTTCTAAAGGCTGATGCTAGCCCGAAAGTCAGTCTGAGCTGCCTCTGGTCTCACATCCTAAAAAACTCAGTTTATGCAGATGGGAAGATGTAGCAGCAGCCCCACCACAACCCCTAAAAGGTATTTGGGACCCTCACCTTGACCCTTCAGCACACCACATACAGGTTCTATGGTTGTGGATTCTTCACGGCATCAGTTGACATAACCTTTGCAACCTTTGCAATTTATTGGCTGACAGTTAAACTAGACACAGAGCACTTATAGTATCCCAGCTGGCTCATACAAGGTAGTTGTAGTGGGTAGTAAGGACATTCCAGGGACAAAGTCAAATACAGTGGTGAGTCATCACAGCATGCTCACCCCCTCCCTCAGTCAAAGTTATCAGGGACCACCATCTCCTGCAGTAAGAGGCAAGTAAAGACCACTGGACTGCCTCACATGACAGTGTACACGTCCTGCCTCTGTAGTTGGGTCAGATGGATGAGGGTGACATTGGCCAGCGTGCCAGTCTTCTGCAGTTATAGACACAGGGCACTAGAAGTAGTAGGACATACCCAGCTGAGCATGGCCCCACATGTCTCAAGTAGCCCACTGTGTTTCACAGCCCCCATGGGAGTTAGGGCCCTTTGCTCTATGCAATATCTGTTTGTCTGTGATTTCCCAAGCATGCCCCCTACTTCTCTGGGTCTGTAGGGAGTGAAGGAGAGAGTGAACTTACCATGTTGAGAGTCAGCAGGGAGAATGAGCCTGCCCACCAGCTGGATGGCCTTGCAAGCTGCAACTTTGTTGAGGAGTTCTTCATGCTGGCAAAACAACTGCAAGGAAAGCAAGAAACTCCAGTTCATCCTCCTCCACTTTCAAGCTTGACAGCTGCAAATGGCAGGGATGGTACCTTGGGACCAGATAATGGCCCAAGGATGTGGTCAGAGACCAGTGCCCAGGAAACTTCCAAGCAGAGGAAGATCTTGCACAAAGGTGGGCATGCTGACTTTCCTGGTGGAAGCAACCCACTCCTGAGTTGCAGAGACCAGGCAATGGAGGGAAGAAGAGTAAATGTATCACAAGTATCTGGCCGTCATCAGGCACAGGCTCAAGGAGTTGTAATGTACTCCTATGTGGTTTGCAAGCATGCAGAGATTGAGCAGCAGTATGTGGCCATCACTGAGCATACAAATGAGATACTCAGGAAGTCCATGAGGGTCAAGCAGGAGTCCATGAATCATCTCATGTCTTCCTTAAATATGCAGACAGAAGGCATCAGTCTACAATTTAGTACACAAGTGGGACTGTCCAGTTGCCCCTAAGGGTACATGCTGCCACTAGGATACATTGACACACAGGGGTCCTCCATACCAGGACAGGGAGCAAGCCACTCCGGCTGTCAGGTAGGTATAACATGTAGGCTGAATTATCATCCAATGGTGACTGCCGCTAGGGCTGTGCAAAGCTTTGGTCACAGATTCAATTTGGTGGAGATTCAGCCCGACTCAATGGGTAAATCTCCAAATCCAAATCAAATCAGAGGGCCCTTTAATCTCTCCAATTTGAATTGGAACCCTCCAAATCAATTCGGAGAGATTCAGAAAGATGCAGGGATAGACACAGCTTTAAATGTTGTTTCTACATACCTCTAGGGAGCAGGCAGCTCCTGAACACTATGATGCTGGGGTGCATGGAGAGTCCCACAGAAGCGTGGGGGGGCTCCCCAGCACTCTCGGCAGCAGGCCCAAAAGTGGATTAGAAGCACTTCTTGTCCACTTCCAGGTCCACTGGGAAGTGTGTGGGCCCCCCCTGGTCTATAAGGTGCATATCTACCTGGCCTTCAGAGTAGAAAGAGATAGATATACTTTTGTATTAGACTGGACTTTTTAGATTTTGTTCATGTCAGCAAAGCAGTAATGGCATAAATTGAGATACTATGAAAAGAATGGAATTTTGGGACTAGAGTGGCTGAGAAAAGCCAAGCTTAGCCTCTTAATAGGGTG